GTTCAGCAGTGGAACTCTCTGCCCCGGAGTGTGTTGGAGGCTCCTTCTTTGGAAGCTTTTAAACAGAGGCTGGATGGCCATCTGTCAGGGGTGATTTGAATGCAATATTCCTGCTTCTTGGCAGGGGGTTGGACTGGATGGCCCATGAGGTCTCTTCCAACTCTTTGATTCTATGATTCTAAGGCAAACATTTCAATTTGTTTGCAGAATAGAAAGGAAATTCACCCACACTGGAACATGTGAAAGTGCATTATCATCATCATCATTACCATCATCATCTTTATTTATATCCCACCTCAAGAAGATGGTGCTCAACTGCTCAAGGAAGCTAACATTATTTCTGGCTCGTCGTCCCCTAATTGCCCAATTAATGTGCAAACTGGGTTGTTGTAGGTTTTTTCGGGCTATATGGCCATGTTCTAGAACAATGATGGGCAATCTTTTGAGCTTGGTGTGTCAATACTTGCCAAAAAACCGAGCATAACTCGAGTGGGGTGTCACTTCGAGAGAAAAAAAACCATAATTTCATGATATTTATAGTTTAATAACAAAAATATATAGGTTCTTGTGGGTTTTTTCGGGCTATAGGGCCATGTTCTAGAGGCATTTCTCCTGACGTTTCGCCTGCATCTATGGCAAGCATCCTCAGAGGTAGTGAGGTCACTACCTCTGAGGATGCTTGCCATAGATGCAGGCGAAACGTCAGGAGAAATGCCTCTAGAACATGGCCATATAGCCTGAAAAAACCCACAAGAACCTAGTGATTCCAGCCATGAAAGCCTTCGACAATACAACAAAAATATATTATTGTAATATATAGCTGTATTTAATAAACCAAAAAAAAAATTATTTAACTTACCTGCTTTTTCTATAATGCCGTATATCTCGGCATTATAGAAAAATGCTGGTGTAGGAGCCGAGGATGAAATGTCCTAATTGGGATGCGTCCCCATCTTCTCTGTATGCGGCCGCATACGGCTGTGTGTCATCGAAAATGGCTACGCGTGTCAGTGCTGACACACGTGTCATAGGTTCGCCATCATGGTTCTAGAGGCATTCTCTCCTGACATTTAGCCTGCATCTATGGCAAGCATCCTCAGGGGAACATCAGGAGAGAATGCCTCTAGAACAGGGGTCCTCAAACTAAGGCCGCGGGCCGGATGCGGCCCTCCAAGGTCATTTACCCGGCCCTTGCACAGGGTCAACCTAAGTCTGAAACTACTTGAAAGCACACAACAACAACAACAATTCTATCTCATCAGCCAAAAGCAGGCCCACACATCCCACCGAAATACTAATAAGTTTATATTTGTTGAAATTGTTCTTCATTTTAATTAGTGTATTGTTTTAAAGTGTTTTTTGCACTACAAATAAGGTATGTGCAGTGTGTATAGGAATTCATTCATTTTTTTACAAATTGTAATCCGGACCTCCAACAATTTTGGGGACTATGACCTGGCCCTCTATTTAAAAAGTTTGAGGACCCCTGCTCTAGAACACGGCCATGTAGCCCGAAAAAACCTACAACAACACAGTGATTCCGGCCATGAAAGCCTTCGACAACACATTAATATGCAAACGCCATTAAGGCAGACATAATAATAATAATAATAATAATAATAATAATAATAATAATAGCAACTTTATTTTTATACACCGCCAAACATCTCCCCAAGGAGACTCGGGGCAGCTTACGAGGGACAAGCCCAAAAATTATAAATAGAATACAACCAATTAAAAACATCAAGATAAAATATAAAAACAATCACAATTGTAAACAACATCAAAACAATATGGCTGAGAAAAAGAACATAGTTGAGGTTCAGACATGTCAATTTGCTTGCAGAATAGAAAGGTAATTCACCCATACTTGGATATGTGAATGTATATTGTCGTCATCATCATCTATATTCCACCTTTCTCCCCGTGGGGACTTATTCCATTTGGTTTCCAAACCTTTTGGACTAGTTCAGGAATATGCCTATATTTTAGTCAGTGTAAAGCCTGTAGTAAGTTAACCTGATCTGATGTATGCAGATGACCTAGTGCTTATCTCCCTCTCTCGGTTGGGTCTCAAAAATCTTTGGAAAGCTTTCAGTGCCTACTGCCAAGAGGAAGATCCGTCAATAAATTAACCCGATGTTTCCTGAAAGCTTCCTAGTTCTTGGAAACCGAGTCACTGCTGAACCAAAGCTCATGGGGTACTCCTACCAGTTACTCTGACTTCCACTTGAGAACTACTGAGTCCAAGCAGAGCACTCCTTACTTCTTTTGTTTACCTGTCCGAATGAATTCTCCCCTATGAACCATCAAGGTTAGTAAGATCTTCCGGAGGGGCCCTGCTCTCAGTCCCACCACTCTCGCAATAGCGTCTGGTGGGAACGAGGGACAAGGCCTTCTCGGTGGTGGCCCCTCAGCTTTGGAATTCCCTCCCACCAGAGATTAGATCTGCTCCTTCCCTCCTGACCTTTAGAAAGCTAATAAAAACCTGGCTTTGGAATATGGCATTCGATGATTGAGTCAATAACCCTTGTCCACATGGAAGGATGGCGATGAATTGTGACTGTATTTGACGACTTGGCTTGTGTAATGTGATGATGTATTTTATTGTATTTTATATTTTAATGTATAATGATGATGCGCTGTGCTGTTTTTATATTACTGTATATGAACACATGTCGTGAACCGGCCTGAGTCCCTTCTCGGAGGTCGAGAAGACCAGTATATAAAACTTCTAAATAAATAATAAAATAAATAAGAAAGTCGAGCCAGCCAACACAATCTTAGAGCTATAGATATTTATTATTTACTTCATTTATACCCCGCCTTTCTCACCCCGCAGAGGACTCCAGGCGGCTTACAGACTACAGCAAAATTCAATGCTGCATGTACACATAACAATAAACTCGTACTCATAAAACTATCAAAACAATCAAAGCAGATAGACATAAACATAGCTAAGTGTAGTCATTTTCCTACTGTGAAGAATGAGCTAGCAAAGAGAGCAGTCAAACAGTCCAGGCAAAAATATTGTATTCTGATTATTGAGCAAAAATATCTATTTTGAAGTCAACACTGTGGGGTTGGGCTGTTTTTCTCACACAGCATCTCACTTTACATCCCAAGGACATGGGGCTAAGTCAAGCTCAGCAGAAAGGGCAGATAGTACCTCATGTAGCCAAACTTTTAACTTGAACAGATCTGTTATTGAAGCCCCAAAACATCTCTAGGTTTATCAGACACAAATCCAGGCAGATAAATGTAGACTTAACAGTCCTGTGAATGGATCTCGATGCCTCCAGAATTTGCATTCTATTGCCACTGTTGATCTTTGTGTGTGTGTACATGTGTATTTATTTATTTATTTACAGTATTTATATTCCGCCCTTCTCACCCCGCAGGGGACTCAGGGCGGATTACAGTGTACACATATATGGCAAACATTCAAGGCCAATTTTTGACATACAAACATATACAGACATACACAGAGGCTATTTAACTTTTCTGGCCGCCAGGGGAGCTGTCGCTTTTATCATCCATCTGCGACGCTGATGAAGCACTTCCGCATTCCCCGCATGCTTCCCCGCTGGAATGTTTTGCAGGTGTCTTCTTTATGGCCTCATAAGTCAGTTAATTTAGCCTCCCCACACTTTAAGGTGGTACCTAATTTTCCTACTTGACAGATGCAACTGTCTTTCGAGTTGCAAAGGTCGACAACAGGCTACACACAATTGGTTGGAAACCCACTCCAACCCGGGCTGGCTTCGAACTCATGACCTTTTTGGTCAGAGTGATCTTAATGCAGCTGACACTCAGCCAGCTGCGCCACAATCCCGGTTGCTGTATTTTATTGCATGTACTTTACATTGAAACATTTTGACTTGGTGGTACCCCCGCCTCGAGCCGTAACAAATAAAATTTATTATTGCTGCTGTTATTACCATATATACTCGAGTATAAGCTGACCCAAAGGTGGCGAAGTGGGTTAAACCCCTGTGCCGGCAGGACTGAAGACGACAGGTCGCAGGTTCGAATCCGGGGAGAGGCGGATGAGCTCCCTCTATCAGCTCCAGCTCCTCATACGGGGACATGAGAGAAGCCTCCCACAAGGATGATAAAAACATCAAATCATCCGGGCAACGTCCCCTGGGCAACGTCCTTGCAGACGGCCAATTCTCTCACACCAGAGGCGACTTGCAGTTTCTCAAGTCGCTCCTGACTTGATTAAAAAAAAGCCAACCTGAACATAAGCCAAGGCACCTAATTTTATCACAAAAAAATTGGGAAAACTGATTGGCTCGAGTATAAGCCGAGGGTGGGAAAGGCAGCAGCTACTGGTCAATTTCAAAAATAAAAATAAAAACCAATAAAATTACCATATATATTCGAATATAAGCTGACCCAAATATAAGCCATGGGGGGGGGGGGGTACTTCAGCCTATAAATATGCTAAAAATTTGGCTTATACTCAAATATATATGGTAATTTTTAAACAAATAATTGTAGTTCTAATAATAATAATAATAATAATAATAATAATAATAATATCACACAGTCCTAGACGCTTGGGAAGTGTTCGACTTGTGATTTTTTGATATGAAATCCAGTATATAGATCTCGTTTGCTGTGACATACTGTGCTTTCGTGTCAGTAAAATAATAATTAGAACTGTGATCCTCAAGAAAACGACCCAGGAGGCAAGAAGTTTGGAGAGGTGCCAAGATGTTGTTAATGACTGGTCACTACACACTATAACAACTTTCAAGAAGAAAACAGTCACACAAGCCCTCCAGTGTGTCTTATTTTCCAGCAACTTGTCACTCTGGTTTTGGAAAGCTGGTTCCCACAATGAATATTGTTTATAGGCAAGGAACAATTCGCCCTAATCAAAATAAAGATGGACAACACAGTATGAACCGCTTATTCCTTGACACTTTGATTCAACTGATGTGTGGACAGTGCAGGGACCCCATAAGAGCAACGAAACGAGAGCGGCCTACCTTCTGGGAGCCAGACTGGACGGCCGTAATGCAGACGGGGTCGATCAAGGGCTTGGGCCGTTTGGCCGACTCCTCGATGATGCCCTGCCATTGCCTGGGCAGCCCCGTGAACTTCTGCTCCTGCTGGTCGTACCCAGTGTGGACCCGGTGCTCAAAATTGGAAGGGGCCGAGATCTCAATGCGTTTCTTCTTCTTGCTGAACATGGTGATGTTGGCTAGCAGACCTGGAAGGAAGGAGGGAAGGAAAACAGAGAGAGTTGGGTCTCTTTTCCAGTGACAGAAATAACACAGTATGTCACAGCAAACGAAATCTAGATGCTGGATTTCGTATCACAAAATCACAAGTCGAATACTTCCCAAGCATGTAGTACTGCGTGATGCATTTTCGAATGATGCGTGCAGATCCAAGTCTTTTGCAGTTGAGAGATCATGATATGTATTGATTTACTATATATACTCAAGTATAAGCCAACCCAAATATAAGCCAAGGCACCTAATTTTACCACAAAAAACTGGGGAAAAGGATTGACTCGAATATAAGCCGAGGGTGGGAAATTTCAAATTTCAAAATAATAATAGATACCAATAAAATTACATTAATCGAGGCTGGTTAAATGTTTTTGAATATTTACATAAAACTGTAATTCAACATAAGACTGTCCAACTCTAATTCAACCATTATTCTAGCCTTCTTCAATGTAAACATGCTTACATATCCTTCCAATAATAATAAATAGAGTAAAATAATAATAATAGTAATAATAATAAATGCAACAATAACAATAAGAGTAAAATAATAAATGCAACAACAAGTAAAACTACAACAACAACAATAACAACAACAAAGTAAAATAATAAATAACTTTGACTCGAGTATAAGCCGGGGGAGACTTTTTCAGCCTAAAAAAGGACTGAAAAACTAGGCTTATACACAAATATATACAGTATTTATTATTACTGTTATCCTTAACCACGCACATAGTTTTCTTAGTTCCTCTACAATATTTAACATTGGCTTCACCGCTTTGTATCCATTCTATATAAGTCTTCCATTTATTTTTGATTTCTCCTCTTTTGGTAAGGTTTACCCTGACATTAAGTCTAGTTTTGCCCAACTGTGGTAGGTGGTGCTCATCTCCATTTCTAAGCCGAAGAGCCGGCATTGTCTGTAGACACCTCCAAGGTCATGTGGCCGGCATGACTGCACGAAGCGCTGTTACCTTTCCCACAGAAGCGCTACCTAATTATCTACTCACATTTGCATGTTTTTGAACTGCTAAGTTGGCAGAAGCTGGGGCTAACAGCGGGATCTCACCCTGCTCCCTGGATTCGAACCACTGATGCTTCAGTCTGCAAGTTCAGCAGCTCAGCAGTTTAACCCGCTGCACCATTGGGGGCTCCTATTTTATTCCCCTGTATATCTTCCCAAATTACACATGCTGCAATTTCAGATTGGACTTGGACGTACATATTGTCGTTCCAATTTTCTATGGTCCATTTTTTTTTGTCATCTTTCCATCCTCATGATATCACTGTCCTGCTAGAATCATAATTTTAAGCAGTTCTTTTCTATTGATCTTACTATTCCCTAATACTCCCATTAACATCAATCCTATATTCACTTGAAGTGGTATTTAAAACAATGTATTGTCGAAGGCTTTCATGGCCGGCATCACTGGGTTGTTGTAGGTTTACATAGCCATGTTCTAGAGGCATTCTCTCCTGACTTTTCGCCTGCATCTATGGCAAGCATCCTCAGAGATTGTGAGGTCTGTTGGAACTAGGAAAATGGGTTTATGTATCGGGGAATAACCAGGGTGGGACAAAGGACTCTTGTCTGCTGGAGCTAGGTGTGAATGTTTCAACTGACCACCTTGATTAGCATTTGATGGCCTGGCAGTGCCTGGGGCAATCTTTTGTTGAGAGGTGATTAGATGTCCCTGATTTTTTTTCCTCTCTGTTGTTTTGCTGTTGTAATTTAGAGATTTTTTTAATACTGGTAGCCAGATTTTGTTCATTTTCATGGTTTCCTCCTTTCTGTTGAAATTGTCCACATGCTTGTGGACAATTTCAACAGTTTTCCCATTCCCACCCCCCCATAAAAGTTTTTACTTTTGGACATTCCCACCACATGTGGGCAAAGAGATATGACTGGAAGACGGAGCAAATTGAGTGTGGGGACATCCCTCGTCCCACAGCCAGGAAGAATCAGCAGGACTGTCGTTTTGCTCATGCAAAAATGCAATATTCCTGCTTCTTGCCAGGGGGTTGGACTGGATGGCCCATGAGGTCTCTTCCAACTCTTTGATTCTATGATTCTATGATTCATTGGTGAACCTGATGCCCAAGTGCCAAGTGACAACCATGGCCGATAGCCACTCAAAGGAGTCTGACCTGATATAGCTGACACCAGAGCCATCTGCGGCTCCATTTCTGGATCTGAACTGGTGACCTACAAAAGTTCTGCCCGAGCCGTTGATCCCCTTAAGCAAAGCGTTCAGAGAAAACCCAAGCTCCCTTGGCAAGGCTGGAGTCCGCTGTGACCTCAGATGCACTGCTGGATCCAACCACGTCTTGGGACTCCGTGCCTGAGTTTAGAGCCAATTAAGCAGCCTTTAATGCCCACACCTGCTGCTCTTATGGCCATACCTGTGGCGCGTTTCCCAAGAGCATGCTTAATCCGTGCATAACATGGACTGTTTGTATTCTGTGCCTAAAGCACTGTTTAAAATGATCTACTCAAAGACTCTTGAGTTTTGAACCTGGAGGAACTGACTTTTGGTAAATGGATTTATTTCACAGCCATGGAGGGGGCCTTTCCCACTTGTCCCACATGCCCCCCCAGCCTCGGAGGATGCGAGGGGCGAGTGTAAGGCCCCTGCCATGGCCACGGCGAGGGGCTCCCAGCCATCTTTACCCTCTCCAGGCAGCAAAGAAGGCTCTCCAGGAACTCAAGGTAGGACAAATCTTTGTACATGCCTCCCCCAAACCACTCCAGTATTATCTGTTGGTCATGGAAGTCCTGTGTGCCAAGTTTGGTTCATTTCTATTGTTGGTGGAGTTCAGAATGCTCTTTGGTGCCTGGTGAACTACAATTCACACAAATGCAATTCCCCAAAAGTCGGAGCGGTTGGCAGTAATTCCAATCCCTTCATCCATTGTCCATATCATTAATCACTATGCTTTAATTATGTTCAATTTGTAACAATGAAAATACATCCTGCATATCATATGTTTACATTACAATTCATAACAGTACAGTTATGACGTAGCAACAAAAATATGGTTGGGGGTCACCACAACATGAGGAACTGTATTTAGGGGTCACGGCATTAGAAAGGTTGAGAACCACTGTTCTAAGAGTTATTTAGGAACTGTTATGAATGTAACCTTTGAAGATCTGTACCTCTAAGAGAAAGGAAACTTTGAAACCATCAAGCTTCTGTACCTCAATAAACTTGTTACAGTTTCTTTTTAAAGTCAAGCCTATGTCACCATTCCTTTCCAAGTCAAGTCACGCTACATAATGAAGAAAGACCAAAGCAACATTACAAGCTATTAGTTGTGTCATCAATTTAATGAGCCCCCACAAAGAGGTGGCTCCTTATACATCCTTACAATTTGGTGGTATCATTAAAAATTAGTGGCCAAGCCTTTACAATAAGTAGCAGTAATATACGGGCTCCTTCACAGCAGCTACAACTCCCAAATGACAAAATACACTCCCCCCCCCCCCCCAATGTTAAAGACAAAGACTTTTAAGAATAATTCTGATTTGGGTTGCTGTGAGTTTTCCAGAAGCATTCTTAACGTGGTCATACAGCCCGGAAAACTCACAGCAACCGAGTAATTCGGGCCTTCCACAATGCATTAATCTTTCTTTGCTGCCATCCCACACCCGAGGTTGAGACACCAAACTGGTGAGGCTTTCACGCAGAATTAGATGCATAAGAGAGTCTGCAAAGTTTCAAAACCTCCTCCCACATCTTCCAAAGCTGAAGATCCACTTCTGGGGATCCCAGGCATCCCAAATCATCCTGCCTCTTGTTCCGGAGAACCAACAACGCCCTCAAAAAAACAAGGAAAGAGGCCGTCTCAATTATCGATATCCTGCTACCGGCAACATGAAAGCGATTGCCAATCAGGGCAAGACAATGAACCTACCATTCAGATCAAACAAGTTCCTGGAGGAAGTCCAATTTGCATGTTTATTTGAGATTTGTCCAGGTTGACAGACCGGCCCGTCCTTCTGAGCCGCTTTGTTTGAAAAGGAATTCGGTTGACTCCCAGAACCTAGTTGACATGAGTCCCAGAGACTTTGTTAGGATTTTGAGGCTGGATACCAGGAGATTTGTGTATAGCAGTGGTTCCCAACCTGTGGTGCGTGGGAAACCAGTGGTCTGCAAAAACAAAAATATGGTCCACGGTCTGACCAGTACTACACTGTTGCCTTGAAACCACGCAGCAACAAAAATGACTGGTCTCGCGAAATCCGTTTATCATGCCAAGGCAATGGGGATGTCAGGAGGGGAGATGCTGACTGCCCATGAAAAATTCCAGACGTGGGAGCGACCACAGAGAAGGCCCCCTCTCTTGTTCCCACCAACCATATTTGTCAAGTAGCCTGGACTCAAACTGTTTACAGCTATAAAGGTAATGACCAGCACTTTGTATTTAGCCCAGAAGCGGCCGGGCAGCCAGTGGAGCTGCCCTAACATGGGAGTGGATCTCTCCCAGTACAGAACTCCTTTTAGCAGTGATCTCTGAACCAGCTGAAACTTCCGAACTATCTTCAAGGGCAGCCCCACATAGAGAGCATTGCAGTAGTCCAATCGGGATGTGCCTAAGGCATGGACTACCATGCCCAGATCTGGCATCTGAAGTTATGGGCACAGCTGTTGCACAAGTTTTAATTGTGCAAAGGCACTCCTGGCCACTGTCGAAACCTGGGGTTCCAGGGTCAGCTATGAGTCCAGGATCACCCCTAGTCTGCGGACCCCCATCAACACAGCCTGTAATCCCAGAACTTGTACGACAGCGGTGCCCATATCTTCAGATGCCAGATCTGGGCATGGTAGTCCATGCCTTAGGCACATCCCGATTGGACTACTGCAATGCTCTCTGTGGGGCTGCCCTTGAAGATAGTTCGGAAGTTTCAGCTGGTTCAGAGATCGAAGGCTAGACTGCTAAAAGGAGTTCTGTATACCATGAGATCAGCATTAGC